GCCGCATTCCGGAGGCCGAATGGCATACGTAGAAATTCGAAGAGTCCGAAAGGCGTAATGATAGCCGTTTTCGGAATATCTTCCGTTGCCATCGGGATTTGTTTATATGCTTTAACCAAGTCGATTTTGGAGAATATAGATGCTCCAGATAACGTTGCCATCAAGTCGTGTATGTGAGGCAAAGGGTAGCAATCAGGAGTTGCTTTGGCGTTCACTCGCCGGTAATCACCAGTGGGTCGCCAATCGTTGCTATCCTTTTTCGGTACCATATGCAACGGGGATGCCCATGGACTATTCGATGGCCGAATGATGCCAAGGGTGAGCATATGATCGAATTCGTTTCTGGCAATTCTCAGTTTGTCAGGGGCCAGTCGTCGTGCTTCAGATGTCACGGGCTGTCCTGAGGTTATGATGTGGTGCATAACATTGCTGGTTATACACGGGAGGTCGTTAGATGGGCAATTCAGTTCCGGATATTTGTCAACAATCGGTTGAAAAGTTGGATCGAGGATTGCTTTCATCTTAACGATTGACAAGCTGGGGCCTACGTAAGTTATGCCTTTGATAGACAAACTAGTAGTGTTGTCAATTAATCGTTTACGGCGGACGTCTACGAGCAAATCATGATGATTAAGTAGGTCCGTGCCGATGATGGGCATTGTGACGTCAGCGATTAGGAAAATCCACCGAATAGGTTTGCGTAAACCTACGTTCAGATAGACGTATTTCCGACCATAGGTTGCAATTGGTTTTCCATTTGCAGCCTGTAGGTTGAAGTTAGGATCCTTCTGTCGATCTGCTGCTGTAGCAGGAAGGACGCTGACTTCGGCGCCTGTGTCGACTAGATATCTAGTCTGGCTCATTACATCATGGATGTAAAGTAAGCGGCTAGTGCCGCCGGCGACGGTTGCCGCTAACGCGTGCCGGCGGGATAGTTTCCCACAGACTTGGAGGCTTTGCCGAAATCACAAGGTTTTCGACAACATTTCGCTTCCTTGCCATAGGTGTTGTGATACCAACACCAGTCAGGATTTTTGACAGAACGTGTGTTGGACTTAGATCGTCCACGTGCGTTTTGCCGTTGAGGGGATCTAGAACGACGGTTTGAGGAATTACTAGGCTTGTTTGACCTAAACATCTGCTGGACGGAGTTGATTAACTCTATCATTGCAGAATCCTTCTTCGAAGTCTGTTCGGTAACTGAGTTTACTTCGGTAACTGGCTGTTTCGTTATCTCTAGAATTCTATCTGCAGAGACAGCTAAGTCATCTATGAGAACACCCTGAAGTGTCACAAGTGCAGTCTGAACTGACTGTGGCAGTTTGGATAAAAATAGTTCTCTAAACAGTCCTTCATCGAACTGACTTTGGCCAATGATCTCTTTCATTCTTGCCAGCATGCTCACGGCTGACTGATCTCCTAACTCGATGTTACGAAATAACTCATCCAGACGTTGTCGATCTGTGAGAACGTTTCTCTTGAGTATGGATGCATTTAGCAACTCGTACGAGTTACTTACCGACATCTGCAGAGTTACGCACCTGCTGAATTCCCGCGGTAGGGCGTGAATAACTGCAAGGAACTGTGAAGGTTGATCAGTTATGCCATGTTCACAAAAATCAGACTCAGCAATCTGAAACCACGTTTCAGCATTATCTGGCCAATATGGTACTAGCTGAATTGTTTTGGCGGTTGAGCGAATCTGAATAACCTTGGGGCTAGGATCACTCATGACGAAAAGTATGCCGATAACAATATAGTACAAGAATAAACACAAAAAGGAACGAACTCACCGGGTTTATCTGGGTGTGAATTGAAGATGTAGTTCGTGGTTGGGCTCACCAGTTTAGGGATTGACGGTATCGACGTTCGCGAGTTGTACGGATTATACTAGCGCAAGATCTTATACCAACAACCACTATAGTGTTCGCTCTTCGAGTACCAAATGGTAAAGCAAAAGACCAGATTTTGTCGTCCAAATACGATATATATTTCGGGACAAAATCGCGGGTAGAGGTGAATGCTTAGCTAGCTAGTGATCGTGCACGCACGTGACACGACGAAGCACCAAATGGCGGGGATGCTTGACCGTAAGCCTTCAGCTAAACAAGTCGACTTAAACGGTGATGGTCAGCATCCAATGTTGAGTGATGATTGCTGTGGTTAATAATTTTGGGGAATTATTTACCGCTACAGTTTTCACTGTAACGGCTTGCTTGACTGATGTTAGATGATGGCATAACCTTGTTGCTGCTCTATTTTGACTGAACTGGCGTACACGTATCTTCTAGTATTTCTTCGCGTTTATAATTGTGACCTAACGTTGCGATTACTCGACATCCGCAACGTAATTCAAAAGGCACTTGCGAAGGAATACGATAGTGTATTATTGCAGCAATCAAAATTCAAAAATCGAGCGAGTACAAAAGGTATCAATTGTTAACATGCAAGATTTAGAGTAATAAACAAATCAAAGTACAATTACATAGTGAAAGTATAGTACGATTATGAGTAATAAAACGGGTCACTACAATAGCCCCTCCGTAGAATGCAGGTAAATGAAGTTTACCTGTATTCGGAATGATATTGTAAATTACAATTACAGAAGAAATATATACGAGTTTCTGGTATGAAAACCGAATTGAGGATTTTAAGTTTTTGAGGTTTGATAATATAACTGTATATATGCAAAAATGTTAACAACTTCGAAACGAACCGAAATATTTAGAAAGTTGTGCAAAATGTAACAATAAAACCAGAAAAATTATTAGAATAATAATGGGGTTGTTATTGTAAAGAGTTACAGAATAGATTTATATCTTAACATACAGTTAATAGTATAGTAATAAGGAAGTATGGAAATGACTTGGGTAAACATTCAGTTACCTCTATTTCCATGAAAGCTGGTTGTACAAGTGGAATTGTACAAGAAGAGATGGCTGTGCCAGAGAAGAGTGCAGCAGTAGCTGCTGCTGCTGATACGGTTGAAAGTGAACGTCCGTCAGCATGTTGTTGTTGTTGCTGGGGTGTTGTTACTCGGCGTTGAGGAGTAACTTGAATTGATGTTTGCTGAGGTTGGAGAGTAGAAGTTGGTTGATTGATAGCCATTCCAACAAGAGCAGTTGGCACAAGCTGTGGTAAACCAGTGGTTTGAATCAATTGACCGTTAGGACCAACAGTCATGACTTTTAATGGAGCTCCTGGTGCCAGAATGATAAACTGGGGAGTAGCATAGGAGCGTGCAGCTACAGTACAAGGTTGACCACTGACAGAGACGTCAGTTGCCATCATTGTTGCTTGTTGCTGATGTTGTTGGATATAAGCTTGCTGTTGAGCTGGTTGTAACTGATGAGCTTGTGCTTGAATCTGTTGTTGTTGAGGTGATTGGGTAAACTGTTGTAATTGAACAGTTGTAGGACCGGCTTGAGTAAATGGAGTTGCAGACCATTGTAAGAGTGTTTGCACACCTGTAGACAATGCTGAAGCTTGAGGACAGAGAACTGGAATTGAGGTGTTGCATAACAGCCAGCTGCTACAACTGCTTGAGTATCAGGGTGAACTGGGATAGCAGTCGCTGTGCCGCCAGGTCCGGAGGTACTTTTAGCAGAAATATCAGTAATTATACATCCAAATGTTATGAAGTTATAAAAGTTAATGCGATGGCAAAGATGATTTATTCCACTGTGTATACTTCGAAATGATGTAGTCCATCAATCAGCTCTGTCGGGCTCGCCAATTTGTTGCTGCTCTATTTTGACTGAACTGGCGTACACGTATCTTCTAGTATTTCTTCGCGTTTATAATTGTGACCTAACGTTGCGATTACTCGACATCCGCAACGTAATTCAAAAGGCACTTGCGAAGGAATACGATAGTGTATTATTGCAGCAATCAACAATTCAAAAATCGAGCGAGTACAAAAGGTATCAATTGTTAACATGCAAGATTTAGAGTAATAAACAAATCAAAGTACAATTACATAGTGAAAGTATAGTACGATTATGAGTAATAAAACGGGTCACTACAACCTGACTATTTCCATGGAGTGAAAGTAATAAGGTTTCCATTGGCAAACCTGCAGAACGATCACTACAAGACATCCTTACATCTACCTATATGGAACATGGTCATTATAACATACAAAGGCATGCCATGTTCTGCTAGTGATGTTGTTGGTTGGTGAAGACAACGTAACGATGTTGGCCGCTATGGAAGATTCACCTACCTAGGTTAATCAGCCCTATATACACTTTAATTCGCATATTTTTCAAATCGTCATGTTTCATACGCTTACCAAGTTCTTCTGCTACGCCCTTATTAGCTCTTTCAGGCTACTATGAAACAGATAGCATTGGCTACACAACAGACAACTGCAATTCATTCACTTTATGGTATTTCGCATCCTTCACAAGATATTTGCAAGTACAGTAATGGTTATGCACTACATTAACAAACGGAAAAATAAATCTGTTATGCACAAATTGAATAAGAATTCTTGACGGAAAGCCAACAAATTTAGATGTAGCAGATTAGGCAGAAACAATCACTGATGGTGTCTACCCCCCCTCCTCAACCCTCGTTTCATTAGCATGCTTATGGTAACCTTGCGAATTGTTTTTGTTTCCAAGGTTGCACTCAGGCATCATATATTGACACCGCAGACGCCGTTTATTTTTGTTCAGTCTACGCTCCTTCACAATATAACGAGTGTTTGTTAACCGAAAGTAGAACAGTTTGTGCAATACTAACATTCTTTGAAAGCTTCAAAGCTTATGGTTCTTTCAAAAGCCTTGCTAATATACACTCTGATTGTTTTTTCTTCGTTAGACCGGCATTACATTCTATAAACATAAATAAGGGAGACATTTTTTCTCAAGATTTCAAAAAGATACTGATTAGGCTACCATTTTAACTTGTAGTGACCCGTTTTATTACTCATAATCGTACTATACTTTCATTGTGTAATTGTACTTTGATTTGTTTATTACTCTAAATCTTGCATGTTAACAATTGATACCTTTTGTACTCGCTCGATTTTTGAATTGTTGATTGCTGCAATAATACGCTATCGTATTCCTTCAAAAAAAGAGGGTTATAAACAGCTATTAAAAAAACATAACGCCCGTCGTCGTCGGGCCGCTCAAACAGAGCGTGGTGGAGGAGGTAGTGGCGGTGCGTCAAGCAACTCAAACACTGGTGGAAGTAGTGGCGGTCATGGTAATAACGGCAGTCATTCAAACGCTCACTCAGTACCTCCATCTGAGAATTGCCAAAATGTAAATACAAACTCTCCTCGGGGTGACAATAACGAACCAGAAGAGAAAGATTCGGCAAATCCAAGAACTTCACAAGCAGATTCTTCTGGACACCCTGAATCTAACGAAAATGCTGAGATTAGGGATACTGATGGATCCAGAAGTTCTTCAAAAAGAGATGGTGGTGGAGCGAGGAGCCGAACTGGTCGAGGTCGCCCATCTCAGCACTCTTCACATTCAAACCATGCCAACGCTGACAATAACTCTACTGTATCGCATGACCGTAACCGTGAAAATAAGTGTTCTCGGAACAACACTGACTCTCAGACGCGCCGGGCTTCCATTGATGCCAAGGAGTCTGAAACTGATCATTCACTTCCTACATTGGATAAGGAATTGCCACTGGAAGATAAGAAAAAGAATGATCCTGAAAGCCATACTACAACTAGTAACTCTAATTCCCAAATGACAGAAGCTGTTACTAATTCTAATAAGTCTCAAGCGGATTCAGAGGCAGTGTCCAGTACTTCACCTTGCATCAAGGATTTGATCCACTTTGCCATTGAGAAAAATCTACCCAAGCCTTCAAATGATAATCAAACGAATTCAACTGAAACGTCCTCTCGATTTGCTCCTTCAGAGGAAAATATGTTTCAAACTGCCAGCAGTAATTCAGAAAATTGTGATGTAAGTACCTCAAAGACCGCGAACTCTTCAACCTTACCCATGACGTCAGTTTCTTGTGATTCTATTAATTTAAATAAAGATAATCTCGATTCATCTCCAACAATTTTTCCATCTACAACAGCAGCTGAAATATATGCTGCAGCCGCACGTTTTGCGGCAGTTAGCGCTAATGCTTGTGGAATGAATACTGATCCCTCAGCAATATCTGTTTCCGAATCTGTCGAAAATGGTAATCGAAATGTTTCTCATTCATCATCATCGATTACTTCATCGACTGCTTTTATGCAGTCAAAGTCTGATCAGTCTGACCTTTCATGTGTCGATATAAAGAAAAAGTGGGCAGCTTCTACAAGTCTTCCTTGTAATACCTTAGGTTATTCGCATCAGAATGCGACTGGTCGTTCACTGGACCCGTCTGCTTCCAGTAAAGCAATTTTGATAGGAGATTTTCTTATTGCTCAACAACTTGGTAGAACTGACTCGTCTAGTTGGGGCAACAGCCACGTAACTTCACGTTCAGCTGATAACACAGGATCAACCCATCAGCTATCCCGATCTATTGATCCCTCAACATTACCTGTACCTGTTTGCCATCCCTCGCATTCTTCGACAGCTTATAATAATTATGAGCCTCAATCAGGGTCGAATTATCGATCAATATCGGTTGTTTCTGACAAAGGTTTGAGCAATGATTTCCTCGCCGAACATGCTATTAGACTCGCCATGCAAGCTAAAGCTGCTGCAGCAGCGGCAGCAGCTGCCTCCGCCTCTGCATCTATCCAACTAGATGGTGGTCGTCCGTCTGCATCCATAGTCGAGAATAACTTCAATTCAGAACGCTGTGTATATTCTCCTTTGACACCAAGTCCAGTTAAAGTTGATGGTGTATCAGCTACTGTCAGTCTTTCTTCTTCCGTTCAACCGATTCTTTCACGAATACAAAATCTAAAAAATGATGGTATGCATCACTTTTCTCCTTCATTTGCTAACCAATCAGTTGGTGGTGTATCAAATTCTATGCATTCGAAACTCGACAGTGATCCTAGCATATCTATTAATGCAGCTCAAGTTGCCTCATTTGTTGCCAATGCCAACAGATTGTATTTAGAAGAAGTTGGATCTTACACTTTGCGTGATAGGTCTGATTCTATGCGAACACTAACCAGTAGTGAAGCTACTCAACTTTACAGCGTATTGCAACACTTACGTCAGCAAAAACAAGACGATGATTCTCTTTCACAGCAGAAAACTTGCCATGTTTCAAACACGAATATAGATATTTCAAAGCAAAATTTCAGAGAACAACAGACAGAAGTTATGGGTATTTTTCCACCTCGTCCACATTCATCTGAAAATACTTCAGATCATCCTGTTGATCCATACTCGGAAAGAGAAATTATGAGAGGAGCACAGTCAAGATTTATGGGTTACAATTCTCCACTAAATATACCTGAAGATTCACATGGGACCCGTAAATCAGTTTCACGTACTGGACATTCAAATTTTATTCCCGACTCAGTAGATCCTTCATGCGATCCGTCTGCACTCGCTTCCGAAGCCCGCTACCGTCGTCGAGGATATACAGAATCGCAAATTAATCTCCGGCATATATCCAACGCTCCTGGACCTAATATGGGTTCTAGTGTCGGAGACAGCCAGTTGGTTCCTGTTCATTCTGAAATTCCTAACAAGTTACCTGCTGTTGAAGAGAAAGGAGATGTTAGTCAGACATCTTTTACTACAGCTACTTACATAGATGCCTTGATAAATAGTCATTTAAGTAAATCGTCTAAAACACAGGTTGACCGCCCTCGACCCTCTTCTAACTCCATTGAATCGGATGTCAACCAACCTATATTAGTTTCCATCACTTCAGCTAGTCCTTCTAGCTTCAGCAAATATAACTTACCTGAATTATTTACAATATCATTCCGAATACAGGTAAACTTCATTTACCTGCATTCTACGGAGGGGCTATTGTAGTGACCCGTTTTATTACTCATCATCGCAGTATACTTTCACTATGTAATTGTACTTTGATTTGTTTATTACTCTAAATCTTGCATGTTAACAATTGATACCTTTTGTACTCGCTCGATTTTTGAATTGTTGATTGCTGCAACAATACACTATCGTATTCCTTCGCAAGTGCCTTTTGAATTACGTTGCGGATGTCGAGTAATCGCAACGTTAGGTCACAAATATAAACGCGAAGAAATACTAGAAGATACGTGTACGCCAGTTCAGTCAAAATGTAGCAGCAACAAACTAACAAAAATACCCAAGCCTACAATAATGCTGAATTAAATCTCAGTAATTCTGAAATAATTCTTGCATCCTATAGTGAGTAAATTCTGAATCTGTTCTGAAATGGTTTGTTTAATGGCACAGACTAGAACGCAGTACTGGTTTTCAGCATGACTAGAACGAATTCAGCACCGTGTTCTTTTTCTAGGCATTTTCAGGAGTAGATCAGAACATACTGGGTTTCCTTATCAGCGTTGTTCCAGCCATTACAGGACGTATTAAGCACTGACTAGCATTACTTCAGAACGAAAAGACCGAATTCAGCACATAGTGGCAATTTTTTCAGCTTAATTCTAGCCTTCTCAGCACATATTCAGAACTGACTAGCATTACTTCAGAACGAAAAGACTGCTGCTTATTATTATCACCTGTGTCCTACGCCGGCGCAATTCATTCAGTTTACAGAAGGAAATCAGTTTTTATAATTGAGAGAATTTTATATTTAATAAACTGTAGTACATTGTCACTGCAAATCCGTCAAGTGAGATCCACTGGTAGCATCCTGTAAATAAGAAAAATATAAGATTAGTTCATGAAAAATAGTGCTCAGCACATTGTAAGAATTTACATTTATAAAGGTTTACTTACATAACTGCCACTGTTATATCCCGTGGTATCTTTTTCATTTGCCTACAAATGAAAACAATGTTCTTCTCTTACGACTTGTTGCAGAATGTTGAATGCCCGAATCTAATACATTATCTGAGTTGTTTTCCTTATAATGGAAATGGACAAATATACACCCAAAATATAACTCACCTGCATGATTTATAAATCCTGTAAGAATGGTCTCTGTATGTAAGGAGTACTGCTTATATACCTCTAAGCAAACATCCGTTTTTTTAATATGAAAGGGGATGAAAGGTGAGCTGTAATCACAACTGTTAACACTTTCCCTACACCAAGTATATGTTTTCATCTGTGAATCGACACAATCACTCCCCCTCTGGTTTCCTTTTGATAACCAAGGTTTTAATATGTGACCTCGTAAACAGTGCTCAGCAATCGAAACAATCTACATTCTACTTATGACAAGTCTCCTTTTTCATCTGTGGGATTTCAGCCCCCCCACCCTCACTTTTGTGTTTCATATTTCGTTGTATTTCATTCATGATAAGTAGACAAAGACTGAACGCTGCTGTCAAAAAGACTTTTTATGCAGCCAATATCATAATAATAGAGAATGTTAGGCCAATATATCTATCTAAGCCCTTCGAACATGAGAAAAATGACGTCACATCCCACTGTATTTACCAATTTGAATGTACGTGTGGACACACATACATAGGGAGGACTCATCGATCTCTGCAAGTAAGGGCTTCAGAGCATATTCCTAAATGGCTCCAGAAACAAATTGAATCTTCAGAACCCATTAATGGTGAGAACAGGAGACCTAGCTCCTCTATTGCAAAACATATTATAGAAACAGGACATAAAATTGACGTTAAGAGATCTTTTAAACCTATCTATAAAACGTATTTGGGGCGTATCCTAAAGTTTGTGGAAGCCCTAGCAATTAGAAAGTTTAAGCCACCTTTATGCGTTCAAAAACAATTTGTCATCACATTAAACCTTCCTTGGTAAATTTTGTTTTGACACCATAACAGATGTACTATTGTAACAACAGAAGACAAGGGCCAGGCAACAGATCGTTTATTACGAAAAATCAACACGTATTTATAGATTTTTATGTACATTATTGTAGGTCAATGTTAGTAGAAAATACAGTCTGTTGATTGGTTGTTTCTCACACAAAGTTAACCTTGCATCTCTTGTGGCTGTGTCAGTTCATCTATATGTTAACTGTAACCGTCTGTCCACCTTGACCTTTGACCTCAATTACTGTCAACCAATTTGGCCAGCAACCATCTGTCACCACAACATGACTAATATTTGATACATAAACATTGACCTCAATTACTGTCCACCACTTGGCTAGTAGACCGCTCTCACCACACTCGTCCCCCCGTCAAATAGTTTGGACTGAAGTCGGCTTGGTCTTCTCGGTTCTTGGGGCTTTGCTCTGTTGTCTTGCTGTCTGGAATCTCGGCGCTTGCGGATGTTCACCTGTTTCTCTTTGTTTGCCATTGCGATTGTGTCTGCGTAAGCCCATCTCAACGTGACCATATGTGGTCCTTCCCACTTTGGAAACTGTTTGCCTGACCCTGTCGCATATTCGTAGGTATTTCGCCTCACACTTTCATATGCTGCTTTCTCCCGACCTCCCAGCAGCGTCCCAAGTAGCAGCCTTATCGCTGACAGATCTTGAACGCCACTCAACTGCGAATAAGCCTCGAAGTCCTGCTCGAAGATCCATATGTCTCCATCGAAAGCTGCAGGGCACAGGCTCTCCATTTGTCGGTAGGCAGCGACACCAAATGTAACAACAGAATGCAAGTGCCAGGCAACATATCGTTTATTACGAAAAATCAACACGTATTTATAGATTTTTATGTACATTATTGTAGGTCAATGTTAGTAGAAAATACAGTCTGTTGATTGGTTGTTTCTCACACAAAGTTAACCTTGCATCTCTTGTGGCTGTGTCAGTTCATCTATATGTTAACTGTAACCGTCTGTCCACCTTGACCTTTGACCTCAATTACTGTCCACCACTTGGCTAGTAGACCGCTCTCACCACACTATTACCTCTGTTATTTGGTTTAGTGGTCTTCATTGTTATTTTGACCTTGAATATGTCCTTTAAACTTGACCTAAGTCTATTTTTCTCACCTCTTACCTCTTTATTAATTTCATATATATTCCTATGACAAGTCCGTGTGTGATCAGATTGTTCGAAATGTGTTGCGCAAATACATTACACGATTCAGACAAATTACGTCTTCTTATTGCTTTATATAAATTCATAAAGGGAACTAATTGTTTTAAATGATAAGTATATGTTTTCATCTGTTGTAGTTAATCCATTTTTTTTCTAATGTTTTTGCACTTTTCACCCATGGGCCTGTCATAAGTGAACCGTTATCATTTATTCTTACACATAAATCATGACAAATATATTTGCTCGACTGTATAAAGTGCATTAAACACGGCCCAATATGTTCTATCAATATTGTTTTGGTTTTTGGTTTTTGACCTCCATTTCATTGAGCTGTTATCAAATTTCGAGACGATGCACCAAAAAATTTTTTCCCATAGCTGCTACAATACACATTAAACACAACCTACCTTGCTTCATTTTTTTTTTATTTGGTGACCTCGTCTCAAGTGAACTGTAATCAAATTCAGGGACGCTCTCGCAAACAAAATATATTATGCATTGCAATCTTCATATGTGAGAAATTCACATTCCCCTACCCCCCTGTTGAATTTCGTTTTCGTTGTATTCTTATTAACTCTCACACCTCTGGTCAAATAGACCAATCACATCATAGGGAATTAGCAGACAAGTATGTAGCCGTCACACTACATACTCTGCGTGAAACCTACTCTTTGCTGATTGGTTGGTTTCAACATGCTATGTCGAGAGAGAGAGAGAATGCTTTTTTTCAGCATTACCCGCAGCATTTAGGCATGCAGTGCTTATTTTCAGCATTGAAGGCATTATTTCAGATGCTGATCTTTTTTTAAAGATTTTTTCGCATTAATTCAGCACCCAGCTCTCTTTTTAAGCACGACCAGCGTTATTTAAGAACATAGTGGGTAGAAAAAATTTTCATTTACCATAAAAAGGCATTATTGACGCATAGGTTAGAATAAGTTTAGAATTGTTGTAAGCTTGGGTAGTAGCAGACAGCAACGCATGCTCCCAAAACAGATTCAGGTGCACAATTCTCAAAGGTTCCGTATAGTAATTAGCATCTTAAAAGTACCTAATAAATCCCAAAAACTCATGATTGAAATGCTTGTAAGAACTAGAATATCATAGACGGGCTGATCTGGAGATAGGTATTTTCAAAATAAAATAAAATAACCAAATTAAGCAGCGACTGACACAATAAAGATGATAAACTCGACATAAATCAATAAATCACATAGATTTTACGACAGCAACTGAAGAAAACTCAAGAAAAAAGGTGTATGGATGAATATGCCAACCATTATCCATCATGGCCTACTAACACAGACGGGAGTAACCTAGACAAAGGTTGAAGAGCTTAAACTTAATTAGTTTTTATGAATTTTGACAGTTATTCGATAGGAGGCCCTGATCACTTTCAGTTGAAACACGGGCCCCTATAAAGAAAAGATCAGCCAAATGACCCTGAGCCGATCAATCAAAATCCTTTGGTGGAAAACTTGCATTTATTGTGTAGAAGGTGAATTTACAGGAAATATCTCTAATGAAAATGATTAACAGAGGATGTAAGCCTCTGATATGCTGCAAAAATATCCCTGTTTCTCATACGAGTGTTTAATGGCATTTCAAACCAACCCTCTTCTCAGAATTGTATCATACAGTCCCATTGTAACGACAGAAGATAAGAGAAGTGGTAGTGGAATTTTTTACTAAGGAAAAAGGCATCATATTTGTACATTTTTAAGAACATTTAACGTCAGCTAGGTTAGTGGACAACAAACTGATCTGACCGATTGACCATTAGCCTAAGGTTAAACAAAGGGATGAAAAGTTGTCCAATGAGACTGTTTCCAGACCACAACGTGAACCAAAT